GCTGGGAAGGTGTAAATGAAATTTTGGCTTTTTGTTTGAAAATTAGGTCAGGGAATCATTTGCAATTTAAAAAATGGTGTTTTAATTTCTATTTATTTTATGGGAAAAATATGTAATTTACATAAAATTTAATAAAATTCATATTAATGATGAATAACACACATAGTATGGTGTTTATATATTTTTATGCATATATAATTTATAATTTTAAATAAAAAATAATATAAAGTATTAAATAAAAATAAGAAAATGTAAAATATATTTTTTGTAACACAAATAATAAACTAATTTAACTAACCAAATAACTAAATTATTCTAGTACACCAAAAAAAAAATGCCTCAATTATTTAGGTTAATTTGATGCCCGACCGAAGCGGACAGAGCGCACTGAACCGGATACTGCCTTACGCATTTAGCTGGCAAAGGCCATACGGGTCATATTAGGATTCTGTTTGAACTGGATGCTCCGACTAGTAGATCCCTATCTTGCTTAGCTGCACTGAACAAAAAAGGCCTTCCCCCTTCTACCAAAAGCCCTGGGGAATTCCTAGTACCGAAGACTGCTACTCCGCTCTAACTCCACTCGATTTTAAGACAGGAGAGCAAAGTGAGTCTCGTACAATTATATCTACTAAATCTAGTTTTCAAAAATACATGATTTATATGAGATCATATAAAACAATACACTTTATATATCGGTATGATGCACTTTATAAAACATCTCGTTGCACTTTATAAAATGACTCGTTGCACTTTATCAACACACTCCACAATCAACGGATAAAACATGGATACACATAAATCTAAAAAACGGACACACAAATTACTTTAACATCAATCACATCGTTTATGCACATAAAACACGAGCACGCTAACGTGCCAAAACTACATCATTTCACTTATACATCAACATAGTGCACTTTATAAATCAACGCGTTGCACTGTATAAAACAATACGATGCACTTTATCACGACTATCGAATTGCACAATAGATATCAAAATCACCGAACTCAAATTCTCGCTTAAAAAAATTTATATTTTTATTCGATTATCATCACTTGTAAATCAGTCATTTCAGTTTGATGGCGACCTAATTTTTAAAATAATCAAAAAAACAATCAGGCCGAACAATATGAAAAAATATTATTATTATTTTTATAAACTTTATGTAACGTGATTGCACATTATAGTTATATGAATTGCACCTTAATATATATTAGATTGCACAATATTGATCGAAGCCGACTGAACTAAAATTTTCAATTCGAACTTTTATAAATCAATTCAATTGCCTTGATTTACTTTTAAAAGCTCGGTTATTTTAATTCAATATCGAAATTTTTGGTTAAATAATTAAAATAAAGGAACGACCAAATTATATAAAATTTATTGTTATTATGTTTTATATTTTTTATGTATCATATTATTTATTTTTAGCCAAAACAATATAGGAATATTACATACTATATAAAAGTATTGAAATATTATTTGTAGTTTGATTAATTATAAAATTGACCCATAAACTAAATTGTAAATTACTAAAATAATTAAAAATTGCAAGTAAGACCCTATGATTTATCAAATTTTCAAAAAGTGAGCCCCTAAAATCTGCAAAAAGTTTCCACGCCGTGCTTTTGAATATTTCCACGCACAGCCATGAACTGCAATTATGACTCTCATCCCTCTTTTCCGACCGCCGCCGCCTTTTCCTCTCGGATCGGCCACAATTTCACAATTCTCCTCAATACCAGCGACGAGATCGAGCTGTCTCGACTTAACCCCTTCCCGGTCGATAATTGCCAACGACGTGGTGGCTCTTGCCATGAAGGACACCGGCGTTCGCCGAGGTGTCGTCTGGATTGTGGACTGAACGCCGCTCGACGGTGGATTGTGGCCGTGAAGTTCGTTCCGGCAATCGACTGGACGGCGTCGGCGGTGGACTGTGGTGGTGGCACGACTGGTCTGGCCGTACTGTGGTGGCGCCGGGAAAAGGCGGGGCGGTGGCCATAACTGTCTGCAACTTTAGGCGAGTTCGACGGAGATGGGTGTATGCGTTGGTGGTCTGACGAGGGTTGACGGCAAGCGGAAGATGGCTGCGGCACTCGACGGCGGGAGGCAGAGGGCGGCGGTAATCAGCTGCGGGAGGCAGAGGGCGAGCGGTGCTGCAGATGGTGTGGTCGTCGGCGCAAATCCACGGCATGTGTGTGTGAGCAGGTGAGAGAAGTGAAAGTTTTGGTAGGGGTGATAGTGGGTCCCACATGTGATGTGTATAATTAGCTAATTACCCCTTTGCCCTTATTTAATGGTCAAATGTGTATATTTGACCAAGAGATATACACTTATTTACAACATTGCCATGACATGTTTGACTACCATATTTAATATTTGACTTAATCATGATCATTGATGTGTTGGATCCAATGGTATAGAATCATTCTTATTTCTTTCACTATCTATCATTCTCATATGATCCTAACCACATATATATATATATATATATATATATATATATATATATATATACATTAACAATTTTAATAAACTGTAAGTATCTTTCAAAAGATTTACCCACTCTTCTATATTACATAAACGTGGTTTTTTTAACAGATACACAAATATGAATCTATATATTTGCATTATTAAAATGCCATCAAAATTTCAATTATTTTATGGCATATAGTATAACGATTTCCAATTACTATAAAAATGATTTATTTTCAGGCAACAAAATATCTTTCGAAATTGTAATAATATGCGATGGGATCTACTCATAAACACCCGCCTACAATATACTATATAAAATCACATTTAATTTGACTACACAATACCATAAAATGAATAATATATTTTTAAAATTGGTAAAAAGAATATTTTTTGGAGGGAAATAATTACTATTTAAAAAATAATCAAACCCTTTTATATAGATATAGATTAAAACAATAATACTTTTATCAAATTACATTGGAGACGGATTGTCATCTGACCATACTGTAGATGACGTCGAGCGGTGAAATTGGAACTTCCAAAGTAGGATTGTAAACGAATCGAATCAAAACAAATAATAAGATATTCGATATATATTCGTTAAAATATTCAAGGATTCGAATTCGAATTCAATTGGTAAACGAACTCAGATTTTGATTCGTATTCTATTTATTTAGAATATTCGAACATATTCGATTCGATTCGAAGTTCGTTTTCAGAAAAATATTATAACTATAAAACAGATTATAATTACAAAAATATTGATATGTTTTTCCTATCCAATTTGAGGTGTTTTAGAGAAAATTATTAATTTGGGATGTTTTAACTGTGTATGTCATAAAAATATTATGATTAAAACACTATATATATATAAATGTTATAAACAATATATATACAATATATAATTTATAAAATTTATATAATTATGGTTGACGAATCGAATATTCGATTATTTCGAATCGAATATCTACAAATTCGGATTCAGATTCGTTAACTTTTCAATATAAAACATTATTCATATTCGAATTCAAATTTGAGTATTTCGAATTCGAATAACGACTATCGAATCGAATAAAAAAAATTCGTTTTGTTTACAAGCATATTCCAAAGGAAAGCAACCAGATACAAAATGGCCTCCAGAAAATGAGCAATGATGAAATCGTGTATCTCAGTACCTTGGTTTACTTCAAACCCGCGCCAACAACCTTGATTCTTAGCGATAGATTCTTCAAAGGCGCGCAATAAGCCTTCCTTCTAGGCGATAGTTGTGATAAAGGACGCGCAATAGGCATTCCTTTGACACGGTTGCATGAGAAAACTCACAAGAATTCTAACACACGAGAGATTTTCCCAAGATGGACGATTTTCTTGTTAACTCAATGCTTAAATAATGAGATGAATACATATGATTATTTATAGGGGAGAAATATTACTAGCCTATGGGAAATAAAATACCAATCCTATAAGGAATCAAATTCTAATCATAAGGGAATAAATAATTGAGCATCCTAAGAATTACCAAATAACAAATTAGGCACAGGTAAAACTCGAACAACTAATTAAACTAGGAATAGGAAATAATAAATAATAATATATGTTAGAAGATCTAAGTAATGGTCCCTCAAGTCTTCTAAAAGTTCGTCCAATCTTTCCCGTCAAGTCACGCCGATCATTCTTGCATCCCAAGCCTTGCTTGTGCCCCAAGACCCGCTGGCCAGCCTTGCTGTCCACGCCAGGCCTAGGTCTGCTCGGGTCTGTTGGGCACTCCCAGCGTCCTTGCTTGCGCGGTCTCACGCGAACGCTTCCCAGTCGTGCGGTCTCGTGCTGCTGCTTCGCCAACTACATGGTCTCGCGTGGGCGCACATTGTCTGCCTCGCGCGTGCAACCGGCACCTCCTCTGTGTGCTGCTTGGTCTCGCCGGTCGTCCCGTTGCTGGTCGTGCAATCTCGCGCCCGCGTCTGCCTGTTGCGCGGTCATGTCTGCTGCACAGCACCGTTGTCCGGGGTTACCTGCGTGATCTAGCGCGGTCTCTGCAAGGTCTACTAATGTCACGCGGGTCTTGCTCCCGATGAACCATACTCTGTTTCACACGAGATCGTACTCGTTTCTCGGTCCTTGCGTCGGCTATTTTGGACCTTTGAGCCCCCTTCTTGAGTTATCTCGGCTATCGACCCTTTGCATCCTTGGAGGTCCGAACCTCCATTCCCATATTTTTGCCCCATTTGAATATGTCCTTGTCTTCAAGGACTCATCATTTGGCACCAATTGAGGCATCTCCTCCTCACAGACCTCTTCGACCTAATCCAAAAATTCCCCCTCGATCTCGACTTCTTCAACCTCTTCAATGTCCACAAGATTGTCATTGTCGGTGTAAACATCGAAAATAGGCAAGCCTTTATATTCCGTCGGGGCTTCTTTGTCCATGAACTCGTCGTTGAAAAAAGATGGCCCTTAGTACTCGGTTGACACGTCCACGTACTTGGTGGCCTTCACGTCCTTAAAGTACCCAAGAAATTCAAATGAGAGCGTGGGTTCCTAGTAAAAAAAATCCTAGAAATTCAAACGAGAATGCAGGTTTCTCGTCCAAAAATCTCAAAAACTTGAGTGAAAAGGCGGGCTCCTCATCGAAGAACCCCAGAAACTCGAACGGAACTGATTTTTTCTCGCACCGCTCGTCGGCAATCCGGACCTCTCCCCTCGGGTTTGACTCCTTCTCGGTCTTGCTTAGTCCTTTGCAGGACCTTTGTAGGTCACACCACTCCGCAAGACGGCTTCCGAACCATTGTCGGTCTGTTGCCATGTCGCTGTGGGTCGCCCTATGTACCGCGGCCAAGTACTCGTCACCCGCAATTTTAGACTCCTGCGGCTCTTGGATGATTTATTAGACTATGTATAAGATTGAGATAGATGTGATGATTATGATCTACGTTCATGCTGTGATTATATTGTCTGTTATTTACTGAGTAATTGCATAGTAATTCTCACGATGAGCTAGTTGTTTGCTCACCCCCATAAATTATTCTTTTCAGTTTGAATTGCTGGCGACGATCACGACGAGATGAGGGTGGTCTCTTTTATGTTTATTTGTTATTTTGCTTCCGCAAACGATTTTCAAATGGTGTTGTTTTGACTTATGGATGTTGAGTCCTTGGACACGACTATGTGTTTTCGAGACTTATATTGATTGAAATTTTTTTATTATGTATGGAGTTATTGAAAAATGAGATGTGAATTTGGGCAATGAGTTCCCAATAGCTTAAGGTGTAACTTGAGCTAAGTAAAAATGGAAGAAAGAATTTTTTAGTAATGCCCGAAAGATGTTTTATATTAAAAAATGATTTTCGAAAATTCAATCTATTTCTGAAAACTTAGTGTTTTCAAAGGAAAATTAAGTGGGTGTTACAAATACCCTTTCATTTAGTGTAATATGGGAAAAAGTTCTTTCTCTTTCTAAAAATAACTCTCGACTATATAAGAAAGGTCACTCGGCCTCATTTTGGAAGATAATTTTGTTTTAACTTAGGAGATTTCCCAACTCATTGACTCAATTTTCATAGGTCAACAATGCCCCACTAACTCAATGGAGCAAGTTTGCAGACCAGCTACGATTTGGGACAATGAAAGAACCAGTACTCTATAGTTTCCTCAACTTCACTACAAGGCTTGCAAAGAGAGTCAACATCTATGCCCCTTTTGTACCCTTTTGTATAGGGTGTAGTTGAAAGGGAGGATACATTTGAATCATTTCCAGATGAAGTGCTTTATCTTCCTTTTGATGTGTGATTTCCGACTTATTCCTCTCACTTTTTTTTTTTTTGTTATTTTATCAAGCTGGATTGTGTGCTTGATTCAACAATGTTATTTTGATGTTGATAAGATGAGTATAAGATGAGGCCACAGAGAAGTTCTTTTTCTTGTACAGAATTCAGATGAATCTGTCTTTGTTAGCTCTGTTGATTGTGGTGATGTTGAGTATTGGACAAAAATTCAAAATTGATCCTATAATTTGACCAAAGTCCAATTCACACTCCGATAGTGACCATTTTCAAACTTGGTCCTTTAATTTGACATATTTATCTCTTTTTGTCCCTTTTTATTCGCANGGAAAAAAAAAAAAAAAGATAAATTGGTAATGTGACAATTTTTTAATATGATGAGGCATAATTTTGATTTACGTGGCGGGACTAGAGAAGATGGGAAACAACAAGTCATTCCCAATTCTTAAACCTAAATCAACAGGGTCCACACCCAATTTCATAATCGCGAAAAAAACACATCACAGTCAACCGTCGCCTGTTGCCGCCATCACTATTCGCCAGCCACCGGCCGATACATCATCTTGAAGCCCTTTTCGTCCTTGTTCACCTCTTAAAATTTTCGGCGAAAATTCCATCGGTAAGGCCGTCAATTACTCCAGTCAAAGATTTTAGATTCATAAAATTTCTCCCGACGATTCACGACGACCCACCGAAATTCGAGGATACCTCCGGACTCTTCGTGCCACCGCACACTTGTCGACGTCCACCATCTCTGGAATCGACGACTTTTTCAGCAAATACTACCGTGCTCGTCACCTAACTCGGGCGGGCGCTCCCAATTTTCAGCCAAGTACATTTTCTTCATATTAGAGGCTTCTTCGGTCCATATTCTACCATTTTCGACGCTCCTCACGATGTAGATTAGTTCAGGGGAGTCGATGATCTCGACGTCGTCGTGCCAACGGTGGGACTCTTGGGTCGAGTTCTCTATCGGGATGATAAAATTATGGGAGTTTAGATGAGGGATTTGAGAAAATTAGGGTTTGAGTTATTATCAATAACAAATTTTCTCAGAACTCGTGATATCATTCAGGGATGCGGCCGCCGCTGGAGGAGGAGGACGAGGGGGGTTGCCGAACCGAGGCGGTGGGCAGATATGGCTTGCAGCAGATGGTGGGAGAAATTGAAATTAAAGTTTTTTATTATTATTCTTTTTGATTCTTTTTTTTTTTTTAAATATTTCAGAGTGTGGATAAAAATGGACTACAATTGAGAAAAATGTCAAATTTTAGGATCCACCTTGAAAGTAGTCAATACCGAGCTGTCGAAATAGACTTGGCCAAATTATGAGATCAATTTGAAATTTTTGGTTTGAGTATTGCTTCACAGTGAGTGAGAAAATGCTTCTGATTAGGGGTTCACTCCAACTACCACCGTCCATTTTCATAACATGCGACACTGTTCGGCTTGTTCACACTCTTATTGATAATCAAGAAAACAAGAACGACCACAAAACACATACGCTAATTACTGGGAATTCAAGACGAGTGCCCGAAATCATCAGAAATCAATTCGAAATTCTTTTCGAGTATTCGTATGCCGTCCTCCGCCATGTTGACCCAAGCTTCGATTCCCTTACCACGACCGTCCTCTAACCCGTTATTGATGTCTATCAAAACGGCAAAATTATTCACCGGCAAGTCCGCCGTGCAGATCCGAACGGGCCTTCCCCACCCGAAATCCACCTCGTAAATCGGAAACCCGCACCAGCTGGTGAACAAAAAACCCTCCATCTCTCCCTTGACATACTTTTCAAAATACCCGAGAACGTCCCCCAAGTACACCTCCCCATCCTTTTCCGATCCCGCGATGTAGCCCTCGTCCACCTTCCGTATCGACTCCCTCAATTTCCCCGCCAGCTCGCGAAACTCCCGACCCTTTTCCGAATACGCGAACGACATCATCAAACAGTTGCCGAACACGTTCTCCAGACCTTTCTTCCTTTTCCTCAGGCTCACCGTGTGGATTGCCGCAGCCAATTCCTTCCCACCGTTACACGCCTCGATGAAGCTCTCCCATATGAAAGCCGAGACGAGCTCCACACGCGTGTGGCCCCCCGTCGCCCGCCTCCCGAGGGCCGCCAGCTTGTCCTTGTCGAATGCGAAAAGCTTGGTTAGGTGGCCCTCGTCTGTCAAGGGGTGGGGGACTCCTCCTGTTCGGAGCTCCTCTCGGGCCGGGAAATAGCCCGACAGGTCGAAGCCGAGCGCCGGCCGACAGCCGCCGGCCGCCCACGTCTGGAGGAGCGCGGTCACGGGACGTGCAGTCGGCGATGTGCGCGAAGCGGACGGCAACGGCTAAGCCTCCGCACGGGAAGAAATTGAGCTGCGCGAGGAGGAGTGGGTACGACGAGACGTCCTCCGTGGGGCACGCGGGAAGGTACCGGGCGGAGTCGTGTGGGTCCCGCGCGGCGTCGGCGAGGGGGAGGCCGGTGACCCGAGCGACGGAGAGCTCGGCGCCGGCGTCGTTGCAATCGACGGTGGAGGAGTGTTTGAGGAGGCGGCCGGCGAAGGGGTAGAAAGAGGTGAGGGCGTGAGAGAGGGATTCACTCAGGCGTCGGGAGGTTCGGTGGAGGTGGTGGTGGTCGTCGTTAGGGTTGTAGAAGAAGATGATGGAGATGTAGAGTGACGTGGATAATTGGTCGAGGTAGGAGAGTTTGTGAGTTCGGAGGTGTTGTGGAGTTGGGGACGATGGCTTCACTGTCTCAGTTGAGATTATCTCCACCACCACAGGGCTGCTTTGTGCCATCTTAATTTTTTCAGTAATTGTGTTTTGCTAGCTAGCTATGTAACATGTATGCAGATGTTGAGATGTATGTCAGATTTTGCTTTGCTTTACATAATGGTGTTGTTTGGACCATATATTACACAACTTTGATGCGAATTTTGACGAGATTTCTTATTTCCAGCTTTTGTATTTTATTTTAGTGAAAATAGTATTTTGTCATCATAATATGTAAATGTATTAAGTTTTTCACACTATTAATTGATAAATTAACTTTTTTACTCTGAAAAATGTGAGGGCATTGTACTATAAATGTGCGATAATTATTCGGTCTATTTGTATAACCTTTTGTACTTTCTGAAATGAAAAAATTAAAATGCGCAAATATTGTATGATAAATATGCAACAATTATACAATTGATATACTATAATTATTCAGTCTATTATCATAACTTTTGCATTTTTCAAGATGAAAAAAGATAAATTGCTTGTGACTGTCAAAAAGTTTGTTTTTTCAATTTTATTTCATTTGATTAAAGTCATATTTGCTCTCTTATAAATAAAGTATGAAATATGAAAATGCATCTCGGATCATTCGGGATTTTTTTTTTTTTAAGGAAACCACCCAGGAGGATGGGGTTTAGACTAGACCCCCAACCTGTATATATAAAGGCCCTAAGTGGACTGAAAAGTCAAAGAACTACAAGTCCAATCTCTAAAGTACAACAAGTCAAACGGAAGGGAACGCTAGAAACGAGAGAAAAAACAACAATAAAAGGCTGGCAATAGCTGCCAGTAATACAACGATAACGTCTCCTGGTCCGGAAGAGTCCAGGCAAAAAAAAAAAGTCAGTGCCACGGGAGGGGCAGGGCAGGTGCAACAAGAGGTAAGACCGGCTATACAAATCTGAATAAAGGGTATCCCAGCTGATCCATCCGTATAAGGGTGCGGAGGCGAATAGGAATATCGTCAGGATAGAGTATGTGTCTCTGGGGGGTGGAGGACCCGATGCCTGCAAGGAGGTCAGCAGAGCGGTTCCCCTCACGGAAGATGTGCGAGATCTGAAAGCGAATCGACCGAAGTGTGGCCTTAATACGCATGAGTGGATGCTGATGCCATGTGCTCTGATGGCCAGTGGTCAAGAGAGTGATGACAGTGGCAGCGTCCAACTCTATCCAAATATGAAAGGAGATCGAGGTAGCAATCTCAAGACCAATCTGAAGCGCCTGAATCTCTGCGTCGTAGCTCGAGGAGGCCCGAAGAGAGACATGGAAAGTGGCGGATCATTCTGGATTCACTGCACGTGATTGCACGAGACTCGAGAGTTCAAATACAAAATACATTCAAAATATTTGTTTGTGTGTTTAGAATGTCGTATTCCAGATAGAGTTGAACATAAGCAACCATTACAACATCTTAATTGGATCATAAGATCTTAATTTGACAATAGAGGATTATGGTCGGCTGGACTATTGACTAATATAAAGTCTTAATTTGACAATAGAGGATTAGAGGAATCTTTATTTAAAAGACCTATTAAAGGTCTTATTTGTGCAAATAACCTCTATCATTTATTATAAAATACTAGTGTGATACCCGTGCGATGCACGTGGTATATTACAAATTTCTTTTTATTTAAATATTATAAAATTATTTAAGACAATATGAAATTATATTCTCATCAATGAATTCTATTCAGTGATAATATGACATTTATTTATTTACTATTATGTTAATTTATATTTTTATATGTATATTTTTTTTGTATTTTTGACTATTTAATATATAAATTTTATTACTTATAAATTTATAAAATGTTATAAATGTATAAGATTATATGATATTTGCATACAAATTACTTGTATGTACTTATAAAATTGTCGTTTATCATAGTCTTATAATTTTTCAACCATTCATAATTTGCACATTGCTTGATAATTGACCAATGTTTAACCCATAATATTTATCTTCCGCTATAATTATTAAGTGCATTAAATGTTACAAAATTTGATAGATAAATTTTAATTTTTAGTAACTTTAATTCTTATGCAAAACCCACAAATTTTTAATGGTTAAATATTTTATTTGTATGCTTTTATTTTTATTTATATTTATTTCTTTAACTTATTTTTTTCAACCTATATAATGAGTTGCATAGTATCTATTCGAATATTTAGATTTATTATATATTTTCATAATTACCAAGTGCTATAATTTAAATTATTATACATTGCTATTTTAATAACTTATTTTTTATTTATAAAATAGTATATAAGAAAAAATATATATTTTTAAAAATTGAATAGTCTTTTAATGTACATAGATACTTCTAATGTGAAATTTATATAATTTTGAATTGCACCCGACCATCAAATTTTATTTTTTTTAGTATATTATTTAAATTTTTAAGAGTATTATCATTGCATATAATATATTCAATGGGATGTACCTTTTTATAGTTAAATTGACTACATTTCAGAAACTTTTATTAATATTTTAAATTATTTATTAAGTTAGTATGATTTAAATATAGTTATTCTTATTATTTTATTAAATATTTTAATTACTTCTGAATAGTGAATACAATTAATTAAATTAGTACCTACAAACATAGATGATAATATATTTAATCAAATCAATTTCTGTAATAATTTTTTGAATTGTGTCAATAAATTATTATTAAATCAATATTAGATCTCATTGAAAATATATCTAATAAATATACTGTCAAAATTTCAATTTAATAAATATACTGTCAAAATTTCAATTTGTAATTAATAAGTAATAGTCATTGAGTGTATAAAAATTAATTATGTTTTTCATGCATAATTTGCTAATAAATAAATACTAATTAAATGCCAAATATAGACGAAAAAATTTTCCGCCCAAAATCATGCCAATTATGACAATAAGGATTGGTCCATTATATAGATATAGATATAGATGATAAATGTAAGGTCAAAAATACCCTTGTGTTATAAACGAATGTACCTTCGTTTTTTGTTATGATATAACGAAAGTAGTTTCGTTATCTGATATGTTTCTTTTTGTTAGAACTTATTATATTTTAAGTCCTAATTTTTTACTTATCTCTTGAACTTTTTGTTCAATTTTATATATTTTGTTATTTGGGACAACTCCTCTTTAATGCCAGTGGTGTGAGGGAGTTCGCTTCAGTACAAGTATCTATTTTTTAAGAACTAGTTTCATTTTCTTCTGTATTCTGCTTAGGAATAACATAGTCTATTATAGGTCTAACAAAAGACGAAATTCTACGTATTTGAAAAGACCTTTTAGGTGCTTCTAATTGTAATATAGGTGAAAACAATTCATCAATTTCAATTTTATTATGTGGTTTGAATGACATACTATGATGACTGTTAGTCAATGCATAATTTATTCGCCATGTTACTGAAAATGGATTGTTTCCAGTTTTCATTATTTTTCTTTCATGTTCCAACACAAAGTGATGGAGTCATATAAATTGTTGTCTAATAAAGACATTCCCACTTGGTAATTTAAGTTAAACTTAATTTTTCCAAATTTTAGATTTCTACTCCCTTTAGCTGTTAGAGCATCAGAATAATCAATCATTCTATTATCAACTAGTCTTGTTGTGATAGGTGAATCTATTCCCAGACTATAAGTTGATTTAAGAATCATTTGTATAGTAGAAACATGTAAATAAGAAATTTTATTCCTAGTTTCTGCTTTAAGATTTTTCAATGTAGAAAGTATTTGCTCCTTACAGATAACAAGAATAACTACATTGCCTTCTGTTTGATCTGTATTTATTGCTTCTTCTCCAGATATCTTTCCAAAGAATATTTCATTTTTTCTAGAAATTAAGTTATTTAATTTCTTTATTAATCCTTCATTTCTGAAGTTATATATTTTTTTTTAAGTCATGATCTGCTATTCCTGATTTATTTGCATCTATCAAGGCTTCAATTAAGTAGCCTGATTTTTCGTGTTTTGTGAAGTAATCTAAAAGATTATTTTCTTCATCCATAACACCTTCTGTTATTGTTTTTAGAAAAGTAATCTATTAGATTTATATTTTAATTCTATTAACTTATTCACTTTATTCTTTGTATCTCCAAGGATCTAAACATTTTACAAACAATTGTTCTTCTAATCATGAATAAGTGCTATTGTTTGTTTCTAAGATTTGGATAGCTAAATCTATACATTCAAGTTTATCTTTGCAATATTCTATGTGTTTTTCATGTTTTTCAGAATGTGGTGCTGTATTTCCAATTTTCTTTTCAAGAGTTTTACGTCTTGCTAAAAATGCATTTAACCAATCTTTTTGTGGCATTTTTAGTTTAGGTTTATTTGTGGACTATTTTATTTTCTTATAGGATATATTTTAGAGAGAGAATATTATTTTCTACGTATTTCTTCTAGGATTAGGATTAGAGTGATAGCTAAATCAGACTATTAGGTGTTATTTTTTTCACTTCTTTTCTTCTCTTCTCTTTCAGTTTGACATTATTTTTTTGTATCTGCGGGATCGATCTTGAACGAACGCACGGACAGGTGAAGTACTTCTGCAGTTCAATTTATTTCAGTTGTCTTATTTATGTTTAGGATGAATATTATGGAGAAGACTACCACCTTTATGGATAGCTAAATTATTTTTCCTTTATAAGTTGTGAGACCTAATTGAATTTTCTATTCCATATTCTTTTGTATTCTATGTCTCTTGTGTTTATTATTAATTTTTATTTTGGTTGATTGATGCAAATAGAGCTCTTTGTTTAATTATCAAAATAGCATATCGCCATCCAGAACATTAAATCCGTAATTATTTGATTTTTCTAATATTGGTGGCAAAGAACATAGTTGATTACTAAGGATTTGGGATTTTATGTTATGGGAGATATATGATCTAGTCTAAATGATCCTACATGTGAGTTTTTTTTTGCTAGAATTGGTAGTCCTTCTAAGTTCTAATGCAGTCGATAGATTAAACCCTATGATCATATCTCGGACTGTCTATTGATTGGAGAAATAATTAGAGATCGTATCCTGATTATTGAACAAGTAAGGAATGATAGATTATTAGATCGTACCAATAACCATAATCAGTTTAAATGCGAGTAAGAGAATTATCTTTGCATCTGTGATCGAGTCATTGAACCATTTTTATGAATTTTTCCTTTCGTTGGATATTTTATCTCCTTCATTTACTCTAGTTAAAAGAATCTTTCCTTTTCGAGTTTATTTTAATTGAATCTAATTTTTATTTTTTAAGTAATTTGAACATATCAAAACCCCCATCTCTAATTTGTATTTATATATGTAATATTCCTCCATGAAATAGTTGCATCATTCATTTATATCCAATCTATGTGGATAGGACCCTACTTATTGCTAATACAATTTTATATTTTAGACGAGTAGAAATTTATTAGTGTTGGTTTCGACACCCATCGAAGACGATGTAACAAAATGAAGGAGAATGTCTCTTATGTATATTGGTTGTGTCAATGATGAGTTACTAGGAATTTCACTTTTTTGTTTTGGAGTTGTGCTAATAGCAGGATAAGTTCTTAACATAGTTCTATTTAAATTAGTGGTCATTACTCTAGAAGAATTGTGGACAAGACTTAGGCCTAGTGAGGAGCATATTCAAATTTGAGGCATTTTGGCACATATGCTAGAAAGTTGATACTCATAGAATAGAAAAAATTGTTCGAAAAATTTGCTTTTTGTGGGTACTCCATATTAACGAGAAAGGTGGTTAATTTTATAGTTCTAAACTTCTATCGGTAAGGTTGTTAATTACTCCCGTCAAAGTTTTTAGATTTAGAAAATTTCGGTTAAAAATCCGATCTTCTTCTTAAATTTTTCGGCGATTCACGACAACCTACTGAAATCAGAGGACACCTCTAGACTTCTCGCACTTCTGTGCACCTGACGACGTCCACCATCTTCAGAACTGGATACTTTTTTCGGCGACCCGTTTTTTCTGGTATATACTACTTCGCTCACCTCCGTCGTGCACATTTTCCGCCGTCCCTTTTGTTTAGTCTGACGCCTGCCATGTCAGCCCACTCGTCTGTCACCTATCTGGCAGGCGCTCCCAATTTTCGGCCAAGTACATTTTCTTCATACTAGAGGCTTCCGATCTTCATTTTTTGGTCCATACTCGACCATTTTCGACGTTCCTCATGACATAGATTAGTTTGGGGGAGTTGAAAGTCTCGACGTCGCCATGCCAACAGATGGACTCTTGGTCGAGTTCTCCGTCGGGATGAAGAAATTATGGGAGTTTTGGTGAGGGATTTGAGAAGATTAGGGTTTGAATTATCGCTAATAATATTTTTTCTTTGAACTCGCAGCATATCCTTCGGGAACGTGGCCGCCACTAGAGGAGGGAGATGAGAGGGACTGCCGCTGGGGTTGTAGGACCGGGACGACCTCCAGGGAACCCGTATTTCATATACTCATATTATATTGAGTAATAGAATTTCTGTATCGGCGGACAAATGGGTCTCCATCGAGACAGTTTGCAACAAATGGTGGGAGAAATTAAAATTAAAAACTTTTGTTAATTTTTTTATGTTTTATTTTAAGGTGATGATTAGTTGGTTAAATAAACAGAAATTATTCTATTTTTTATGTTTTTATTTTATTTTTTTATTATTTAATTTTATCGTCCACTTGACAGTGAGGTGCTACATCACGCTGGAAAATCATAAATGAATTTGACTAGGCATCACGTCACCTTTTTTATTTAGGGGTGGATAAAAAGTGACAAAAACTGAGAAAATTGTCAATTTATAGAATCAAGTTTGAAAGTTGTCTGGAGTGCAAAATTGGACTTTGGCCAAATTAATGAATTATAGGATCGATTTTGAATTTTTGGCTTGAGTATTGATTCACAATCAAAGTATGAGATAATGCTTTTGATTAGGGCTTCACTCCAGTTACCAACGTGCATTTCCATAACATCATATCAACAAACACGAAAACAAGTCAACAAGCATGAAAATCCTTAGCGAATCAACAACATGAAACCAGGAACGAGTACAACATGTAAATCCTTAAACTTAACTTGAAAATTAACGGTACCAGACAAATAATGAATAACAAAGGCTAGCTCGACTCTGTTCGACTCGTTCACACTTCAAATTATTGATGATCAATGGAAAAAATGAGAAAAAAACAACAACAAAACACACACTAGGAATTCAAGATGAATTCTCGACATCATTGCAAATCAATTCGAAATTCTTTTCGAGTATTTGTAGGCCGTCCTCCGTCATGTTGACCCAAGCTTCGATTCCCTTACCACGACCGTCCTCTAACCCGTTCATGTCCATCAAACAGGCAGCATTCTTCACCGGCAAGTCTGCTGTGCAGACACGAATAGGCCTTCCCCACCCGAAATCCACCTCGTAAACCGGAAACCGGCACCAGCTGGTGAACAAAAAACCCTCCATTTCTCCCGTCATATACTTGGAAAAAAACCCAAAAACGTCCCCCAAGTACATGCCTCCATCCTTTTCCGATCCTGCGATGTATCCCTCGTCCACCTTCCGTATCGACTCCCTCAATTTCCCCGCCAGCTCGCGAAACTCCCGACCCTTTTCGGAGTACGCGAATGACATCATCAAACAGTTGCCGAACACGTTCTCCAGAGCTTTCTTCCTTTTCCTCAGGTTCACCGCGTGGGTCGCCGCAACCAACTCCTTCACACCATTACATGCCTCGATGAAGCTCTCCCATATGAAAGCCGACACGAGCTCCACGCGCGTGTGGCCACCCGCCGCCCGCCGCCCGAGGGCCGCCAGCTTGGCCTCGTCGAACTCGAAAAGCTTGGTCCGGTGGGCCTCGTCTGGCAAGGGGAGTTGGATTTCTGCCGGCCGGAGCTCCTCTCGGGCCGGGAAATAGCCCGACAGGTCGAAACCGAGCGCCGGCCGACCGCCGCCGGCGGCCCATGTCTGTAGGAGCGCGGTCACGGACGCGAAGTCGGCGATGTGCGAGAAGCGGACGGCGACGGCTAAGCCTCCGCACGGGAAGAAATTGAGCTGCGCGAGGAGGAGTGGGGACGACGAGGCGTCCTCCGCGGGAAGGTACCGGGCGGAGTCGTGCGGGTCCCGCGCGGCGTCGGCAAGGGGGAGGCCGGTGACCCGAGCGACGGAGAGTTCGGCGCCGGCGTCGTTGCAATCGACGGTGGAGGAGTGTTTTGAGGAGGCGGCCGGCGAAAGGGTAGAAAGAGGTGAGGGCGTGGGAGAGGGATTCGCTCAGGCGTCGGGAAGTTTGTTTGAGATGGTCATCGTCGTTAGGGATTGTTTGGTTGTGGTTAGGGTTGTAGAAGAAGATGAGAGAGATGTATATTGAGGTGGATAATTGGTCGAGGTAGGAGAGTTTGTGCGTTCGGAGGTGTTGGGGAGTTGGGGAAGATGGCTTCACTGTCTCTCTTGAGATTATATCCACCACCACAGAGCTGCTTTGTGCCATCTTAATTTTTTTCAGTAATTGTGTTTTGCTTGCTAGCTATGTGATATGATATGTACGCAGATATTGCGATTTATGTCAAATTTTGCTTTGCCTTACATAATGGTATTGTTTGGACCATATATTACACAACAAAGATGCGGATTTTGCGGATTTCATATTTCTAACTTGTGTTTTATTTTAGTGAAAATAATTTTGTCATCCCAATATAAAAATCTAATAAGTTTTTTCACACTACTCGCTGGTTGATAAATTAATTTCTCATCCCAATATGAAAATGTAATAAATTATTTACGCCACTCGTTGATAAGTTAACTTCTTTACTTTAGAAAGTTTGAAGGTATTGTATAATAAATATGCGACAATTATATGATTGATTCGTACAATTTTTTACACTTTTTGAGATGAAAAAGTTAAAGTGCACACATATCGTACGATAAATATGAAATAATTATACAATTGATTTGCGACTACTATGCGGTGCATTATCATAATCTTTGCACTTTATGAGATGAAAAGATTAAATTATTGAAAAATACTACAATTCCATCACCGAATAATTTCGTGAGAGTTAATAACCACTAGATATACATGTAAGTTAGTTATTGTACACATTCCTTAGTTAAAAACAATCATTGAGATTGTAGTCTTCTCCTTAATTATTAGCGACTGTATATATATGTGGTGAAAAAAAAAAATCTTTCCTAGTTTTATCTCATTGATTGAAGTCAAATTTGTTCACTTGTCGGAATAAAATATGGAATATGAAAATAAAATCAGAGATCTAATCTCGGATTACTCGGGGTTGTTCACTGCACGTCGTTGCACGAGAGTGCCAAATACAAAATACATTCAAAATATTTGTTTATGTTTTTAGCACTTTTCTCAATGAGTTGCATTATAATTACACCACGAGGTTGGGGACGAACGTTGACTCTTAATTAAATTACTCCCGCTTGATTTTTTTTTCCCCGTTTTTCAAGTTGCAGTACAGTATGCCTCGTGTACAATAAACAAGTCAGTATGTTGAATTTATTATTTATTTAAAAATAAAAAAAAATGGACAAAAATTAAAAAATAAAAAAATGAGTGGAAAAAAATAAAAAAGGCGTATTCTATAAATTCGTTTTACATTAAAGAACGGATTCGGAAAATACGTTTTTCATAGTAAAACGTATTCTAACAATACGGTTTACTAAATAATAATTAATTAACATAATTAATGTAATTAAGTTAATTAAATTAAGTAAAAACGTATAGAAGAAATACGTTTTTAATTAAAAACGTATTATTGCAATACGTTTTATAATTAAAACTAATTTCACGATTTTTTTTAATTGTAAAAAATATTCGTAAAATACGTCTTTTAAATAAAATTAATATTAAAATCATTAAAAATAAATTTTCTGTGGAAAATAAATTTTGAAATATAAAACGTATTTTATAAATACGTTTTTTCATATATAAAACGTATTTTCCAAATACGTTTTTAGTGTAAAATCAATTTTCCCCCAAACGTATTTTATCAATTTTCACTGCAGAAAAATGCAAAATATTTTTTTGGGATCCATTTCACAACCTGTTCAACAAATCAGAACCTGTTCAACCAACTAATATGAATCAATTCTCCAAAAAAAATCCAACATACACTATATACCAAAAGTCAACCACAATAATTTATTTAAAACACAAATATCAGTATACAGAATGAAAAAAAAAAAACAAATATGTTCACAAAATTCCCCGAATACAACACAAACTAATTAGAAGTGTATCGATTCGTAGGATTGCGTTGTTGGTGGTTGATCCGACGTTGTGGTCGTCGTGAAGAAGACGATGTTGTGGGCATGACAGGTTCTTCTTCTTCTTCTTCACCTGAGTAAATTATTTTTTTAAAAATAAATAAATAAATAAAATTATTTTTTTGTTAAGTTAAAAATTTTCACCTTCTTCTTCTTCCTGAGGCCCGTTGTCGGCAGCGGGTTGGCGGTCGCGTCGTCTTCTCCCTCCACCAATGTTGGCAGCAGGCTGATGCCTCGCTCGGTGTCACTGCGTCCTCTGGGATCGGACGTAGCTCTCCTACGATAGAACTTGGCTCGACGACGTCCCATGTGCGACCTCTCCGCCTCCGACAGTCAGAGAACTGTATAGAAGGCTCTTGGCATGTTGGAATGCCGCCAACATATCTGGATGGAGGGTATGATATAGGTGCTCCACGTTAGATAACGTGTGATAAGCTTCCTCCATGGCGGTAGTCTGAAAATTAAATTCAAAGTAATTAGAATGAAACACAAAAAAAAAAATAATAATAATAATAATAATAATAATAATAAGAGAATAAAAAACAGAAATATATATTACTTACATCGCACTTCCCCTGCTCGGCAAGTGGGTGAAAGCCTCTGTCCGGTTGGGCCACCGCGTACTTGGCAGGGTCACCGAGTAGTCTCACAGTGATATTGTGAAACCAATCAAGGTAACCCGCCTCAGGCTCAATGAATGGCTCCACAGCGATGGCTGGGACGACATTTTCGTTTCTATGTTCGACCCAAGCATTCCCAAACTCTCCGTGAAAGTCGACCCAATCAAAAACTGGCCTCTCAGTCATCCCCTGGCCTCGATGGTGTAGCTGATATTTGGACTCAGTCGGAATCATAAGAAGTTCGGGGGTGGACTGCCGACAGCCGAATTGACGGAGGACCCTATCAGGCATGTGGACTTCACGGACGTTCTAGTTGAAGATCCACCTCTATACATCCAGAGGTGTGAACCTTCTGTACACTAGGCCGGGAGAACATTCCCTTGCAGGTGCCACTGATAGGGTAGCCAATCGAACTGAAAAATAAAAAATAAAAAAAAAAATTAATTAGGAATTAAGTTATAAAAAAATTAAAACAAACAACAAATAAAAATAATAATAATAATAATCTTACATCCGTCTCAGTGAGCCCTGTCAGTTGATCCTGGGTGGTGGCTGTTCCCTTGCCCAGGTGTGTTGTGCTCCTCTTTCCCACCCACCTTAAAAATCACAATAAAAAAAAATTGTAATCACAAAATTTAATAGTGGAAATAAAGTAAATATTAAATATAAATAAATTTTATTACCTTCCACCTAGGGGACAACCAGGGACTCTCTCAAAGTTCGTATCCCTCATTCTTGGGCGAATACGAGGGATACGTTCATATGCTCAAACCTACACATATCGACATATTCATTTGTTATTAGATATTAGTCTAAATTAGAAAAAAAAAAAATTGAAATAACAAGCAAATTAATTTACCTGAATCAGTTGGACACAGTTCTTGATCCAGTTTTCCCCGGACTTGGCGCTCGTGCAGAGCGCTCTGTACACTCCGGCCAGGACCACCGAACCCCAGTTGTACGTCTTGATCAGATTGATGTCGTGCAAAAGCTGCAACCAGTAGAGGTTCAGTCCATTGCCCCTCTGGTCGGGGAAGAAGAAGGAACCGATGCACCAGAGTATAAGGGTCTTCGCCCTCGACTCGTAGGTGAAGTAATTCTCTCCATCGGTTAGTCGCCGGTTGCACTCCTCTTCTAACGCATAGGCCTTCAAATACTGGCCTGTAATGGCCCAAGTCTTGGGGTCTTGAACCGGTTCGTCGGGATCCTGAGAGTGGTTTATATATATTAAAAATTAATGAATTGAGTAAACATTATAAATTAAAAAAAAAATGTAATAAAAAATTTACCTGAACATAGGGGCGTCTTATCTTGAGTCGCTCCCCAACAAGGCTCTCCATCGATGGGGAGACCAAAAAGGACTTGTACGTCCTGCAGCGTGATGGTGGCCTCCCCGAAGTCAAAGTGGAAAGTATGCGTCTCCGGTCGCCACCTTTCCACTAGACACGTGACGAGGCTGTTGTCGGTCATGACTATGCCCATTCGAAACAGCGGGCCAAACCCCGTCCTATCGATGACATCCCAAACTCTGGGATGCTGGTGATCCAACGCCTTCCAGAACTGAGTGTCGAAACGGCGGGGTTTAATGACGCAGTCACGACATCCGCCTATATCTTCGAACAAATCATTCGACCGGTGACAGTACTGAAGATATAGAGCGGACGGATCCCTCGGACCGGAATGTACATTGAAGCGCTGCGGTTGTGAGGACGACGAAGATGCCATTGTCTGCCAAAAAAAAAAAACAATAATTATATACTACATAAATTAAATCATTATATACTACAATCAATAATACAATCATAGTAAAAAAAAAATAAAAAAATCACAAAAACACAAATAAATTAAGTAAACAATAAATTCACAAATTCAAAAATCATATACACAATAAATTGAAAATAATCTCTAATCGACAGTTGGACTCCAACATTTCAACTTGCGACGAAATAATCCTTCGACTCCAACATTTCAACATATTATATAAATTCACAAATAAATTCACCTCATCACAATCATCACAAATTCACAATATGTTAACAATATATACAACAATCCCTTTGAGCATTTTATCGAACACCTTCAAATCATAAATTTTCAAACAAACTACAAAACCCTAACATTAACATAATCCAAATAACCCATCAATTTGCACAAACAAGCATAATCTAACATAATCTAACAACCCATCAACATATCTCAATCCATATCTCGAAGAATTATTAAAAACCCTAATTTTTGCCCTAATTTAAAATTATTGAAAAATTACAAAAATCAAAGCATTAAGAGAATAAATGTACCTTATAGACGGGAAGGACGCGCGGTGGCAGTGGCGAGCAAAGCGGCGGGGCAGCGGACGACGGCCGAATTTTTTTTTTTCAGCTCAATTCTCTCGATCCCTCTCTCTGTGCTATGTGAATTTTGTTCGCGTAAGGGGAGAAGAAGGCTCGGGGCGTATTTATATTTAATTGAAAAACGGATTCACGGAATCCGTTTTTCAATTAAAATTATTTAGAAAACGGATTCTAAGAATCCGTTTTATAAATAGCAAAAAATAGCAACAAAGTTCCCAGATTCGGGACTCGAACCCGGGTTCGGGTGAGTCCGTTATTTCTGGGGGCTCTTCGTTACCATTAGGCCGCGCTAGGCTATCGCTGATATTTTTGCACAAGTTTTATTCTTATCCTTTAACATCAATATTTTTTATAGTATATTTTATACAGTATATATTATATATATAGTATATAGTACATATTATTTATTTATAGTATAAAATATAACATACACTATATAGTATTATATGTTATATACTATATATTATAACAATGATATATAGTATATAGTATATAGTATATAGTATATAACATATAGTATATACTATATAACATATAGTATATAATATATAGTATATAATATATAACATATAGTATATAACATATAGTATAATATATAGTATATAGTATATAACATATAGTATATAATATATAATATATAGTATAATATATAGTATGTAGTATATAACATATAGTTTATAGTTTATATCTTATACTTTATATCTTATAGTTTATAACATATAACATATAGTATATAACATATAGAATATATTATATAATATATAGTTTATATACTATATATTATAGACTATATACTATATATTATATAATACATACTATATAATATAGACTATATACTATATGTTATATAATATACTATATGTTAAAATATAGTATGTAGTATATACTATGTAGTATATAGTATATAGAATATAGTATGTAGTATATAATATATAGTATGTAGTATATAGTATACAACTGAACTCAAATTAGTACAATTGAATTCGAATTAGTACAATTGAAGTCAATTATAGTGAAATCGAAATCAAATCAGTACAACTGAAGTCAAATTAATAAAATTGAACTCGAATTAGTACAATTAAAGTCAATTATAGTGAAATCGAAATCAAATCAGTACAATTGAAGTCAAATTAGTACAATTGAACTCGAATTAGTACAATTAAAGTCAATTATAGTGAAATCGAAATCAAATCAGTACAATTGAAGTCAAATTAGTTCAATTGAACTCGAATTAGTACAATTAAAGTCAATTATAGTGAAATCGAAATCAAATCAGTACAATTGAACTCAAATTAGTACAATTGAACTCGAATTAGTACAATTGAAGTCAATTATAGTGAAATCGAAATTAAATTAGTACAATTGAATTCAAATCAGTACAATTGAACTCGAATTAGTACAACAGCGACTCATCGTTAAACGCAGGATTGCATTTAATTGTTTTGTGGCAACTTTTACTGTTCGTTCCCAAGTTAATAGCATTATTTCATCTTCACTTACACCTCATTTTTTCAAGGTGATGATGTCTGGTTTCCATGACTTTGAAAATCCTCTGTTTTATCATTTATGTGTTATATACTATATATTATATACTATATACTATATGTTATAGACTATATACTATACATAAGATAATATATACTATATGTTATATACTATATACTATATATTATATAATATATACAATATGTTATGTATGTTATATACTAGTATAGACTATATAATATAGACTATATAATATAGACTATATACTATATGTTTTATATGTTATATAATATATAGTATATACTATATGTTATATACTATATACTATATATTATATAATATTACTATATGTTATTATCTATATACTATAAATAATATAGACTATATGTTAAGTTATAATATATATGTGTATACAATTATACAATATATTAAAGATACTATATATTATAAAAAATCTTGATGTTGAAGGATAAGAATAAATGTTGCGCAAGGCTTTCAGCGATAGCCTAGCGCGGCCCAATGGTAACGAGGCGCCCCCAAAGATAACGGACTCACTCGAACCCGGGTTCGAGTCCCGAATTTGGGGTGTTCTTCTTCAATGAACTCGGCTTCACTCTCCTCATTTACCGATCTATTTGATTCGGTTTCTGAGGTCTCGTCTGTGAAATCATCTTCACCGAGTGCGAACTCTTCGTCACTTTCTTCCTCGTCCTCATTTGCCCTTTCTCTAATTGGTGAGCTTGTCCCTTCTCCAAAATTACGTAGATGAGAAGTCGACGTGCCCTCATCCATTCCCCCGTAATAAGGAGTAAAATCCTCAAACTGTGGAACCGGTGTAATTGCCTCCAACGATAAATGCAAATACACAACGGACATAGGAGGAGAGAGATAAATCCATTGCATATCACTATCGTTATCGAGTCTTCCGGCATTCCACGAACCATCGCGTTGACGAAACATTAAAGTAATATGTTCAATTGTCCAACCTTCTCCAAACCGACAATTTTCATTAAGCATCTGTACCAATTCTCCATTAGATATCCTCCCCGTAATAACAAATGAACCATCCGGACGATCTATAAATGAAAGAAATTGTTCTTTCGCACATTGCTAATACAAATTAACAAAATATGGACCGGAATACTCCATTTAGTCCTGTTGAAAAAAAAAAATTCAATTCTTCCCAATCACAATAACACATAATACAAATATTCTTTGAACCCAATTTTTAACTTCCAATCGATTAATCCTCCAAAACCCTAATACAAATAATCCAACAATAAATTAAAACCCCTAATTTCAAAAAACCCTAAGCCCAACAACAACAAATCAATTTGCAATTGACACTTTCCAACAAAATTCTAATCTTCAATTCAGCATACACACAAAATCGATAATCAATTAACAATTATCAAGCTTCAAACACCACCACATTCAAACATATTATAATAATCCCTAATCTCCAAACAAATCCAAAAATGTAAAAAGTTAAGATAAGCCAATATACCTCGTGCGAATGAATTAACCAAAAATGAAATTCGTGTTGTTGTTATCGATTTACGTTGGGGTAGCAATTGGATCGAGTTTTTTTTTTCGATAAACCTCGCTCTCTCCGATAAACCTCAGCTCTCTCTCGCGGTGTTTGCCGAATGGTCGCGCAGAAAAGGAGAAGAAGAGGAAAGAAGAGTTTTTTATTCCATTGTAAAACGTATTACAAAAATACGTTTTACATTTATTTAATTGTAAAACGTATTCTTGTAATACGTTTTACTTTATTTAAAAAACGAATTATTTTTTTTAAAAAAAAGTATTTCTATAATCCGTTTATTAAAACCCTAATTTTTTTTTTATTAAAAACGTATATTTCAAATACGTTTTACAATTATCAATTTTTATTTAATTCGACTCTTTTTAAAAATAAAATAAATATTTTTAACATTTTACAAAATTAATATAAAAACGTATTCTATGAATACGTTTTTCTAATAAACTTTAATTAGTAAAACGTATTCATAGAATACGTCTTTTTGATTTTTTTCCACTCATTTTTTTTTGTCCACTTCTTTTTTATGTTTTTTAAATAAATAAACTACTCCAGTATGTTTGGATATAAAATATTTTGATTTTGATTGGATTTTTTAGTTTGGTGTGGTTAATTTTAAAAAGAAATAGTATGATTAATTGTTAGTAGAAGTTTGAGTGTATATTAAATAATATTTAAAATAAAATAATTAAAATTAATTTAATGTAAAAGTAAGACAGAGATTATGTTAAGTGATGTATAGTTAAAATTATGTGAGTGGATGAATAGTTAATCAAAGATAATATAACGTGTAAGAGTAATCGAGTGGTATTATTTAATTATATTGATAATATTGAGAATAGTAATGTTGGGTTAAAGTTGAGTTAAATTTGAATTAAAAAATGTGATTGATTAAAAACGATTGGAAATTTTTGGATAAATTTTGTAAGAAAATTGATTTTGGCATTAATCGAAAATATTATTTATTTATCATATTTGTGTTTCTTGAAATAGGTATCATAGAATTAATACTTGAAGATAAAGAGAAGATATTCTAATCTTAATTTTTCATATCTTAGTCATTCTCTCATTGTGTATGTAGAATTAATTATCTTCCTTTAGCTTGTAGGTAAAGAAAGATATTAGATTCATTGGAGATTTTATATATATTCTCTTTCCTTATTTTGATATTCTCTTACTATATGTTATGATATTTATTTAATTGTCTTCTTTTACTTGTACGAAGAGGAAAAAGAAGATATTCTTGTGAGATTTGAGAGCTGAAATCATGAGGAAGAAAGCTGGAAAATCAAACAAGAAAATAAAGGAAATCGGGCAAGATGATATTTACGAAGGTTCGCATGAAAATAAGGAAATAAAGTCACAAGATTGAAGAGAGAGAGAGAGAGACACAATTAAATATGTAGATTTGGCCAAGATATTCGTGCATGAGGACTTATAAGGCATGAGGATTTAGTTTCCAAAGCTGAACGAGAAGATCACGTAAATTTGGAAACTCCAGATTTCTGATGAACCTGCATACCGTATATAGTTGTATGTATATAATAGTTTCACGAGTTCTGGTAAACAACGAGCGATTCCATTATTCATTTAGAGAATTTAGAGTATTATTTATTGAGAGCTCATGAGTTTTTGTTTCGATTTTATAGAGTGATCGGATTCCAGCATGTTGGTTCATCGCTGGTAATTCGAGATGTCTGTTTTGTGTTTCTACTTGGTGCTCGTAAGTCCACACCGTGGCCAGAAAAATAGTTAGGTAGGTAGGGTACAAAGTAGGTTAGCTACAGGGAGTCTAGGCGAGTAAATCCTATTTGTACTTGTTGACCAAACACTTGCTTAATGAAAGAGTTCTGAGGGAGAGTGGGACGTTCTCCTGAAAGTTCGTTTTTATATATTCGCTTTCGCAAATTTTACATGAAAGTACGTTGTTTTTAGTATATGCGCGAATTTTGTACTCTCCCAAAAATTCAAAATATGTATCCAAGCATCCCCTCAATTTAACAAGGAAAAAATACCATGCGGAGAGCATGGCGTAGTTATTATATGGGGCGCATCTAAGATTAGTTCTATCGATGACTCAACAAATTGGAATCATTTATTTATTTAAAAAAAAAAAATCTGTGGAAAAAAATTAAAAAAAAAAAAAGTTGTGGAAAAAAAGTAAAACGGCCGGATTCTGAGAATCCGTTTTTGCACTAAAAACGGATTCTGAAAATCCGTTTTCAGCGGAAAAATGGATTTTGAGAATCCGTTTTTCTTAATGATGTAATTAGCCTTAATTAATACAGCAAAAAACGTATTACCAAAATCCGTTTTACGTAAAACGGATTTTGAAAAACCGTTTTTACATATAAAAACGGATTCCGAACATCCATTTTTATATATATATATATATACTATTTTTTTATTTTTTTGTTTTATAAAAACGGATTTTGAAAATCTGTTTTTATGTATTTAATTTTTTTTTAATTTTTTAATTTTTTTTAAGTTATTATGAAGATGTTTAAATTTTGATTTAAAATTTTGAACACAAAATAATATCACTTTAATATCAATTCATTCGTCAAATGATAAAATCTAGCATGCATACATATATGTTATATGAAACACTATATAGAAAAAGACAACCATAAGTACCGACAAAAAAAAAAAAGTGAACCACAAAATATGTACTCAAAACCATCAAGAATAAATATCTGAAAATCCAGTACAAAAAATAAAAAATAAAAATAAAAAATGTCCACAAAATCACAGAATACAAAAGCAAACTATATAGTGTGGTTGGTTCTTCTTCTTCTTGTCCACCTAATTAATTAATTTTTGTAAAAAATCAATAATTCAACCGGACAAATAAATAAAAAGAAACACAAAAAATATATATATTTGTAGTTAAATAAAAAAATCTCACCTTCTTCGTCTTCTTCATTCCCGGCGGGTTCGCGGTCACGGCGTCTTCTCCCTCCACCAATGTGGGGCGCCGGTCTATGCCTCGCCCGCTGAGACTGTGAATGCTGGGGTGGGGCGTACTCATCTTGAGATAGAATTTGCTCCGACGACGCCCCTTGTGTGACCGACTGACCCCCAACAGTCAGAGAAGCGTACAGAAGTTCCTGGGCTTGCTGGAACTGTGACTGCGCTTGAGGAGGTAGCGTATCAATGTCTTCAATGTTCGTTAGCATGTTATACGCCACCTCCGTACCCGAAAACTGCAAAATAAAATTCAAATAACTATCAAATATTAATAATAATAATAATAATAATTACTTCAATAATATTAATAATAATAATAAAAAGAAATCACAAAATAGCAGACAGTTACCTGACACTTCTCCCGGTCGGCATATGGCTGAAACCCGCCGTCCTGTGAGATCGCCGCGTAGTTGTTGGGGTCATTGAATAGTCTCACAGTCCTACTGTGAGACCAATCAATGTACCCATCTGCCGGCTGCAGGAAGGGATCAACCGGGACATCTGGGAGG